CGACGAGGTCGTCGCCGGGCAGACAAGCATGCACTCGACACGATCACGCCGCCAAAAGCAGCATGAGAAAGTCTGCCCTATGATTAAGTATGCAAAAATTAATTATCTATTGTCATTTTAGGCATATTATTGCAAGATCAGTAACAGGTCCTGACAGGATACAGTTATCTCACAATATGATGACTTTATCAACGTGTGTTTGATGGACTCCACGTTTGATGACTTAGAATGCGCGTGGATACAACTCACAGCGTTATACAGGATATTATTGCAGGATAAAACCACAACAAACTAAGCGGACTTACAGAAACAAATGTGCTTTAGCGCTAAGCTTTATTCTACGAAGAAAATTAAGAGAAGCAAACAGGCAAAAAATGTTCGTCATATAGCTTTATTGAGGAGGAAAATATTCCAGTCATTTTTGAAGCGTTACAATAAACCAAATAGAAAGCATAATGATTCATAACACGTTCTACTTATTTTAAGTAATGGTGATAAGCTTAAAATAAATTAATCAATTCGATAAGTAATTCACCGACTGTATAAACGTTGAAAAGTCCTCAAACCATCATTAGTAGGTATCACAATTTAAAACAGCAATATATTTCACGAAAATTCAAGCAATATCTCAGCTGCAACATCATTTCCAGCCAAAAGTGCCGTAGGAGGAACAATCTTATAGCGAGTTATAGGCGTGGCACAGCTGAGCATGTCGCACAGAGCATTACATTAAAACTTCGTAATCCAGCAAGTTTTGGTCGAGCAACGTTAGGGCAATTCTTCTCTTGACATAAGCACGAGCAGCACGAAATTCGTAACAATAAAAAAAAAACAATCCGTAACTAGGAGATGCCTTAGCTTGCATGTGACATATGCTATCTCAGCGTCTTTTTTAATTATATAAATAAAAAGTAATAAAACAACCTGAGTATTTGGGAGCTCCAGATTCACTATCCTGGTGGTTACATATATGATTGCATTACGCTATTATATTTGAATACGTAATCTGAGACAAATAATTAACATGCAGCAGGAGAACTAGCAAACATACAAACTTGCGCCGCTCTATTCCAGCCGTAGGCAGATTACCGTTACACGCATCTTCGCAGACTTGACTAAATAATGATAAATTGCACGACGAGATCTCATCAATGGTAAATATGTACATGTATATTTAGAATATATATTACAAGTCAGAAAAAATAATATTCTGCAGACGGAGGAAAATCTCGGAGGAGCAGCATTTAAGCGAAATAAAGACAAGCGTTGGAATATCGAAGCATTCAATGTTTAAAAAAAACGCACTTCGATACACAGAAAACTTGAAGGTCTCGAAAGCCGTACAATTTTTTTTGCCGATTTCTTCCGGATGTAATTTTGACTAAGTAGAGCAGTGAAATGAATGCCTCTCTTGCGAGACCATGCACCTATGAGGAAGAGTCTCGTCTGAATTACAGATTGCGTTACCTGCAGTGAGGCGAGGGGCAGCCAATGGCCTTGCCACGTGGCTTGACCTCAGAGCAGCGTCGAGCCATTGAACAATTCATGAGGCGACTGAATGTAGGCGATGTATTAGTTCTATTTTTAGCGCATTTTCTCATTTATGAAAAAATGCACTATTGTGCTCTCCATTTCCGTCTGTCCGTCCGTCCGTCTATCTGTCTGTCCGTGACTTCATGTTTTCGTCGACGAGAAAATGCGCTCTCTGTCACTCACTGCAGTGAGTACTGAGTTATATTTTTTCGATTCACATCGATCGATACCGTAATTATTCGTAGTAATTAGTACGGTATCAACGATCGTAGTAATTATTTCAACAGGATCATTATTTTACGTAAAAAGAAAAACCTCGTCACGGGAATAACAAAAGACGTCGCGTGTTTTAGTAAAGGCACAAGCTAGCGTGGGTACATTATGACATAAACGACGGAGTTAATAGAAAGCCAGACACAGAAACGAGGGTGGACCGTAACGACGAAGGGAAAAGTCGGAGGTTTTCGTCACTCCCAAGATGAGAAACTCACGGCAGTAGGAGCGAGTGGGATAAATAGGGCAAAACGTAGGCGGCTGGCGCTTTAATCGTGGTTATAAAAGATTCGAGTTAGAGTAAGACATGGTTAAAACGATTTAAATGTTTGTATCAAGTCACAGTATTGGGCAGTATTAGAGAATATTCTACAATATTAATGTGAAAAACAGGAGAATTCATCAATATATAACATGTTTCTAGTGCTTCATAGCTTGATGTTATGGTGCTTCAACATAAATATAGAAAGGTCATTATAGTGAAGAAATGCATAGCCACTAAAATTTTAAAGGAAATCATGCAACCTTTACTGATCCTCTTACAGTAAAAGAGCTCTCATTACATCTAAAGTTGTCTGTCCTCACTGAATTGAAAGAAAAATACTACATAGCTTGGTATCAAATCATTCAATAGTAGTATGGAGGGATTTTAGCATGATACAAATATAATAATTTATCATGATTTTATGTAACTATTTAGCATGGTATGAATTTAACTAACTGTAATTTCGGATCCGTATGGAGCAGATTTGTGCCTTTGAGTCTGGATTTGGATAGCAAACTGCATGTTGCCGATGCATATTTTATAGGTCCTAGATCAATTTCTGACAAGCAAACATACAAAATGTGTAAAAATGTTCCAACATCATTATTGCCAGACAATTTCATCTGCAATATTTTTAAAGAAATCCTTCATACTTTCAAACTTGCTAGGCATGAAAATGGCAATACATTTTGATCATCTTGAATTCCACATTACCACTCCAAGCAGAAAATAATGGACAAAATACATTTTAATAGACATCAAGATGAACTTATTGATGCACAGTCATTTTGCAGACTTGAAACAATAAAATCTAAAATTTTTACATTTTATTGCACCAACATGTATTAGAGCTGTGGAATATATGACTTAGCCATTTGAAACTTTAAAAGCAAAAAATTTAAAATCAAACCCTAAGTACTGGTATATCTATACAATTTTGGATCTACACTCTTTCATCAAGAGTAACAAGTTTCCAGCCTGAGGCCAAGAAGACAGAGTACATACAACAGTGGTTTCAATGAGTTCAGCACAATTTTTTTCTCAATAGAACTGAATTGAAAAATTATACATAATTTTATATATATATATATATATGTCATAATAATGAACTAGTGCGTGACGTCATGTAGCACAGTAGCAAGTTGTAATGTGGTCCTGCTCCGACTAGTGTTGTCAGTCTCTATACAATAGCCATTACGAATGGGCCTGACCCCAGCTGTTCTAAGATGTAAGTGCAACGTTCCGTACCTTTACGAATCTTACTTGGTGACTGTTATATATTTCCTTTGTTACTGTTATGTTATATTGTTCTGTGTTGTGTTTATAAGTATTTTACATTAGTTGTTATGTTTCCAGGTAATTAAGCATTTGTTCAGTAAAGCTTGGATTGCCCAAGTTTATTCTATCCTTGATCCCACAACAATATATATATTTTTAATTTTTTTGCTGAGTTGTAGATTATTTGAATCCAACTGCACTTAGAGGCTAGATCATGTGATATGTTTGGAAATTATTCAGTAAGAAATCCAGACCTACTTCACTGGCTGTTTTATGAATTTTTGGCAATTCATATTTTGCTTGCTGAACCTCTCTCTGCCTTCAAAAAGGTTGATACAAAATGAAAAATATATCAGATGCCACACTTAAATGAGCCTAAACCCATACCCCATAAATAATTTTTCCAATGAGGGCAATGGCCATTACCCTTACCTAGCTTCTGGGAAGGAATTCTTGGAATTTGGCTTCATCAATTCAATATTGATCTAGAATCATTACTTGCTCTATCTACAAATATGAGTCTCCTTCAGTCAACATGTCAAGTAGTACTCTAGTTAGGTATTAAGGAAAAGACCAGACTGACCAGTTTCAGGTCTTCTGATCCAATATATATATGAAATGTATACCTACCTTTATTCATTAGTCATTACCACTTGTAAATTCCACTTAACAAACTTCTGCTATCAATATCAAGCCCTGGCAATGCCACATAAGTTCAATTAAGTTGCCAACTTGCCACTCAGCACTCATCAGTGACTGCTCTCTGCACTGCACGTGACATAGTACCTCACTGCTGGAGTGCTGGTCACTAAAAAGCGCATAATGCTAATCAGAACTGCAATTTGTAAGATTTGATAACCACATCATTATCCACATGAATATGATGAGTACCAAGTTCGTTTGATTGCACTAGAAAAATGTGGTTCAGTTGTGTTTATCATAGTTAAAAATTAAAGATTTATTAAAATCTAGCCTATATTTTATTTCGTAATCTAGTTCAGAATTTCATTTGATATCTTTGGTAGGGCTGGAGCCTGGAATTTGTAATGATTATTTGCATTTGGCATTGATGGTAAATCAATAATACAAGTGATAAAACCTACCTTTATCTGCAGTTTTAAAACAAATCTTAAAAACATTTTAAGGCCCATTTTCCTTAAAAAATCAGCACCAATTTCCTTAAATATCTGCCTGATCTTCTAGAATGAGATTGGCTCTCATACAGTCTTGCTCTTAGTCATTTAGTCTTTAGATGGTGATCAAACTAAATGAAATATCAAAATAAAATCCACACTAGAGCCTAGTGGTAAAATATGCAATACATGGTCAAAAATCACACCAGTTATCAATTGACATCGGTAAATGTCAACGTCATGAGATAGTAGATAAACAAAAGTGTCCAGTCAGTGAGTCAGGACTTTGGACTGAGAAAAGCCAGCACGGCCCACGGGCCCAGCAGATGGCTGTTCAGTGTTCACCTATATACTGACAGTACCGTGCTAACTCCTAACGTGTAATTTAACTCTCTGCCTCCCAAGTCCCAACCCAACTCTATTAACTTTACCTTGTACTTGTAGCAAGCTAGCACGTACGTACCAAATCCCAATGATGTACTTGCACGGTTTAGGTCTAAAAATATTTTTTGCCTCACCTTTTATTTTATATATCTCATCTCCGTAGAAGTTAATCAAAGACGATACTGGGGCACACAATAGCAAGACAAATGTAATAAAACTACGTACAAACATCATTTCATTTCCGTCTCCATAAGAGGAAATGTTGACTCAGTCCAACAGCACCAGAATACGACGCGACAATAGCGACGTACAACCTACCACGTTCACGCTAAGAATGTAACTGCTTGTCAGCTTTGACTCTGAGCCTTTGAGCTTTCAGCTAGACTCAAAGACTGCCCTATCCATGGTTGAATTAATAAGTCAACCACGGCCCTATCCGCCAGCGTGCAGCTATAGTCCGCGAAATTATTCTTCAAATTCCCTTTATTTCTTCATAGTTCAGCCATGTGTTTCTTAATCCGATTCGCGGGTAAACTAATTTTTAATTCACCCATAATCCTATCATATTTTTACTTAGTAAAATTAAAGTCATTGAACTAATGATGAAAACAGAAAAAATCAACCATCAAATAGACATCATTCAAGATATTTCGATTACCGTCCCCTCATTTTCGATTGCCGTCCCCTCATATAGGCAGAAACGTAGGTAAAATGGGAATGCAGTACCTGTTAACTAATTAACCTCGCAGAATTTCAGCATTTTGTTGCAAGTCTCGATCACGCAACTCACTGCTCCACTATCCGCTCTATTTAAGGGGACCGGCTACCCTCCGGAAAAACTTCTACAGTTATTATCCGATCATCATGAAACTTCGCATACATATGCAAAATGTAAATATAAGAACATTTTGCTCGTATGAATTTTTCGAAAAAATATATAGAAAACGTGAAATTCATAGAAAACGGCTAAAAAAGGGTACTTTAGAAAATCTATCTCCTCCTACAAATATCATCCTACAACATCGAGACACGTATCATTCGGTTTGTAAAGACCATACCTAGAGATTTGATGATCACTTTTCTTATTTTCCCCTTAGTTTATCTTTTATACGCGTTTTTCCAATTTTTCTCATTTTTTTTCTCATTTTCCCCCCTCCCCCCCCTTCTTCCCCCTATTAAAAACGAACCAGACTGAAATTCAAAAAAGTGATCATCAGTTCGATAGATATTTTTATTACAAATCGAATGGTATATGTCTCATTGCTGTAGCTTGAAAACTGTAGGAGGAGATAGGTTTTCCGTGACAATAAGTTGAACTTTTCAGGACGGCGCGACAAAGTCCCGAGCGCCTCGAAATAGGCACTCAATGTAGCATGGATACCAAACTACAGGCTCCTGTAGCTTAATCTACTCAAGGATGCTAGCAGCAACTTGTAGCGCACCTCTACGTACAACGTTAGGAGGGTAACTGAGCTCAGATGCCAGATACACCAAGATATGTAGTCTTGCCGCTCTAATTTTCTTAGGTCTATTTAGTGAAGGAACTTCACCCCCCGCCCCCCATTAAAGCCCGGCCATCTGCGTCAATATTGCCGTACATTGATTGCAGTAGTATCGTTGGAAAGCTCAGAATGTCAGCTTTAAGATGAGACTAAGCATGTAACTGCAGCACAACTCAAGTAGAAACTATATTCAAAGATTTCAGCAGCTAATTACTTTATATCTAATTAGTTAAAGAACTCTGCCACCCGCTTCCCTTTAAAGAGACGTCATGAACGTAAATATTGGCGTACAGCGATGGCAGTGGTACCATTGGAAAGAGCAGAATTTCAGCTTTAAGATGAGCTCAAAAACCAGAAAAGCCAAAATTGAAAATTTTAGGGTAGCCGGTCCCCTTAAGCTTTTGGCCACCTTCTCACAGTAGGCGGCTAGTATGGAACCCACAACGCACTGCTCAAGTTTTGTTATAGTATAGAATAGTCATAACAGCCTTGAAGAATTGGCTAAGTTTGGCCTGTCGCCGACTCTTAAAATATTCTCTACTTTTCTCTTGGAGATCTGAGAACTGGTCTTTTGACCAGACCAATCCAAAACTAAAGTTGAAGCTAAGAAGCTGCTGTTGATAAAGAATCCACCGTCCGTGATCCAGAATTTCGACCACCCTGCCACCGCAGCGTTAATAAGTTCACTTTATTAGTCTTGCTCACCGAACTGTAAGTCTTTGCAATTTATGGTAGTTTTTCAGCTGAAATTATTTTAAATTGGTATTACAAAGGCCACATAAGCCATCCAATTTGGCGGATGAACAATGAGAGAATTTTCTTTGCCTCAGCTTTTGTGGACACAAATTACTCGTTCAATTGCCAAAATTTTCCTATCGTTCGCTTCTAATATTTTTGCTATAAAAAATCATCATCCCCCGAAACTTGGCTTTGAGATCAGCTATTCAAAAGTTAGATAAACAATCGAGTACCCGACAATAACAAGATTAAGCCATTTATATGGATTCATGAACCATAGTTGCAACATTGACAGTTGTCATTCTCAGAGCACAATACTTAGTCAAAATAAAGTCCGCTCACATGATAAAAAAATTGTGAAAAGTATAGTTTTCATTCTAGACGCATAACCCATAACCCCATACCCACATGACTGATGCCAGCTTTGTCAACTTAACACGTTAGTTCATATTATTTTCCGAGGGTAAGAACGCTTAAGTACATAGCAAGCCTTTGAATTCCACTGCTTGAAGCCCTAGTGCCGGATGTCCGCAGCCACCGCTTAAGCTTGCTAAGTCAAGCATAGTAATACTGCAACTAGCCTGACTGATTTTGGCCTAGCCTCTTCTGAACTAATTCTGACGTAGCAGCATTTCACCTTCCAAAACAAACGCGAGGAATTTAGAAAAGCGGGGCGTGACAGTGTGAATTAGTTAGGCCGAATGCAGAAATGCCTTATTAGCGAGCATTCTTGGGTATTGGCAGAAGACCTACCATGCAATCCTCACCCAGTATTTAAGTGGTCTCACCTCTTAGGCTTAGGTGGGCTGGTCTTAGCTCTGAGGCTTAGTGTAGTTATTGAACGTTGAGCTTGAACGTTTACTCCAGGGCTTATTTAAGAGTTGAATTTGTGGCCCACGGGTGGACAAGAAAACTATCTATTTCGTAGATGCAGAATCACTTCCATAGCTGCATTCCGAAAACCATAGATGGACTCTTTAGAAGACACCGCGAAATTTGTTGAGACGAGGCTCAGCATGTCCATGCCAAAAATGAATACAACATGGTTGAAATATTCTCATTTATTGAGTAAAAAAATATTCTTTCAACTACGTAAGCATGGTAACACGAATTCGTAACCAGAAAAGCCATTGACATCTTGAGTTCTACAACAGAACTCGTAACACACGTCAGCGCTGGATAGGGTTAACAAAATTTAAAAGAAAATGAAATATTTTACGTTTCCTTTCTGCTGAAAATGGAAGTAGCGACGCTATGTACGCAAGCAGGAACTATGTTGAATGTATTAGAACGTAAGTGCAAAATAATATCCGAATTCCTGCTTCACACAGGAAAAATGCGATTTTAGACGGTATGTACGCAAGCAAGAACTATGTTGAATGTATTAGAGCGTAAGTGCAAATTAATAGCCGAATTCCTGCTTCACACAGGAAAAATGCGATTTTAGACGGTATGTACGCAAGCAAGAACTATGTTGAATGTATTAGAGCGTAAGTGCAAATTAATAGCCGAATTCCTGCTTCACACAGGAAAAATGCGATTTTAGCCCTTTACTACACACATTGTGATTTGTTGATTGAAATACTTTAATAGAGTAGGAGCAATACTGGACCATATTAATAAACAGGAGTAAACTTCAGTAGCAGTTCAGCGAGTACAATTTCCAAACAGTAGGCAAGTTTACTGGCCATTTTGATAAAAAGTTAAATCGTCTCCTGTTTAAATTGAATTGCAGCTAAAGTGACAAGTTTCAGTTATTCCAACAACCTAAGAGAAACTTGTATCGGGCTATGTGACGAAACAGACATCATTACGAAAATCAACGTCAAATCCGTAAACTAGCCGCAGAAACTTACAACTAATGTTTGGTAGTAGAAAGATCATTTTTGCCAACAATTTTGTTCACGTAATTTAAGCCTGGGAAGACAGAACAGCCGACAATAATGTAGGATATGAAAAATAAGGACCAAATCGTACCATTTAAACGTTGCTCCAAATTTCAGATCTCAAAGTAAACCTTGCAACACTATAGAGCTACCAAAGGAAATAAATGAGATTTTCAGAGGCAAAATTAAATACCGATCAAGTAAATTTGGTAGACATACAGATTGCGATGACTGAGAATTACTCGAGCAACGGAGAACAAAGCAGATCTCAGTGACGCTCCAAGATTGTGATGTGGTAAAGGACACAAGGTTGAGCGACAGAAAAGTAATATCTTACAAAACCAGCCTTAATGCCCAGTCAAATTAGAACAAAAGACAATCCGCTGAAATGAAATTTAAAAATTCAACGAACCTAGAATGACATGAATCGTTCAGATAGTACATGTTTATGTATTAAATCATTCTAACGGCATTCCTCCTTATTTGAATAAGTGGCCTTAGCCTCCATAATTCAAAGATCCTTTGTAACTTAACTAGAAAACATGACACCCATTTCATTGGTACAAAATGACACTATTTTGGCACGAACAAAACAACGAAAAGAAAAGGGCTAGATTACTTCTACAGCGCAGAGCAGACCTGATCAGCAGCATTCGTTGTATCACAGCACTGCAGCACATGCCAGGATGGGCTCAGTACACGTACATGTGATGGTAAACTGCACGAAAAGTTGAAGGAGTAAATAAGGCTCTGAGTTTGGGGAAAATCTTGCAACAATGATGCAATAAGAATTCAGGCTCTCGATTAAAACACAATTGAAATTAAAGCATAATATGATATGCATTTACATAATAATTGAAAAAATATTCACATTGAAACTTTTGTACTGGCAACAAAGCGATGCTCATTTAAATATTACACATTATTATGATTTGACGCATATTCATTCCGAAACATCCTTACCGAAATACGTCACATCTGATAATATACACACATTTCGGAAAAAATTATCTCAAATCTATTGTAATTGAGTGTCAATCGACTAACATTTTAGTTCAATTGTTCAGCTTCAAGTGCGACCGTTTCAAAAACAGAAGTGAGATAAATTTGCTAGTCACGAAACCAGGAATTTGATTCTGCGAGTTTGTTTATGAAAACTTAAGCTCTGAGACTAAAGAACACCACGAACTCACTCAAATCATCATCGTCATCAAATAGCCAGTTCTGGTCCGGATGATACCAATAATCGTCAGGATCGAAGCTAGAGAAGGCGTCGTCGTCAATATCATCGTCGTAGTCGTCATACGAGTCGTAATCGTCGTCATCATCATCATCATCATCAGAGTACAAGCGCCATCGGCAACCCGTCTTCTGGAGGAAGTCGTGGCCGAAGTCCAGCCACTCATTGTCAAAGCGACACGACCCGACGCGCTCGTAGATGTACGAGTCTAGCTTGTGGTCTGAAACAAAAACACGTGCATGCACATCAAAACGGTGTGAAAATTCTGAACCATGCATTTGTGGTGTTAATTCCGTAAAGCGATTGATGCTTTGTAATAGATGAGAAGCTCGAAAGCGTGAAAAGGGAAGAGAAATGCACGCTCAAGTACACCATAGAAATTGAGATTATTTGAGCTAGTCTGCACTATAAATTTTCATTGTTCCCGTTACCACGTTCCACTGACCTCCCACAGAGTCCCCTTAATCCTAAAAGTGGGCTACGGCCCTAAGATTTGAGACACGTTTTTATTCAAATTTCTGCTAACATGACAGTGGTTTGCTAACGTGATAACGTTCAGTTTTTCTGTTAGCGTTTAGGAGTATGGTAAATAAGTGTTATAGGTCCGCTGATAGTATCTGGCAAGGGCGGAATGACTGGGTCTCGGCAGCTGGAACTCCCACACCAGTCACTCTTACGTCACTGCTGTGCTGACTGACCAATACTCCATTGTTCCCTTTGTTTAACACAACTATTCCTAGCATAAACTGGACAGGTTTATGTTCCACTGAAGAGATAGTGAGTGCGCCAACTGTTCCTCACATAACTTGGATGGATTTATGTGTCAGTAAAGAGATGGTTTTCAAGTGCTCCCATAGAAGAGGAAGACCCATTTCGTGACAGAAGTGGTCGACTTCCTTGTTACCTCACGGCTGCTCCGTTTATCAATTTCCCAAGTTTGTCATCTGTACAAGACTCCGGCTGCCAGCTTCCCCAAACTCGTGGACTGGCTGTTTTTGGACCTACCCTGTGCTACAACGGGAGACGCTGTCAAGAAATCGCATGTGCCCCGATTTTTTTTTTTGCGCAAGAGAACAACAGACTCTAGGGATAATTCAATTCTTGGGCATTTTGGATAGAACAATTTTTTATAATGTTTAAGAGCTCAGGGACACAAACACTAGTTTTCAATTAAGGCCGCCGCGCGCAGTTTCTTCTTGGGTGAGGAAAATGGAATATTGGTGTGCGTATGGGCGGTAATAGGTTAAAAATGCTTCTGAATGCTGATGATGCTGCGATTATAAGTGAAACTAGAGTAGAACTACAAGTATGCCGGACTGTGTGATCGAGTATAGGAGTGACTTCAACGAGTAATTCAGTGGAGAGAAGAACCAAGTACTTGTGAATGAATCGGCTGAGGATATGAGCAGTGTGTCGCCGTTGGGAGGAATTAAGATTGTTTGGACAAATAAGTTTAGGTACTTAGGGATGTGTGTAGACCAGGAGGGATGTGAGAGAACAAAGGCCGCGAATTTAAGTAAGGCGAATCAATGGTTAGGTATACCTGGAAGTGCAGCAAAAGTGTATATGAAGTATCGAGGAAAGTGTGGAAGAGTGTGGCAGTGCCTAGCATTATATATGGATTGAATGTGATAGCATATAGTGATGGTGAGCTAGATAAACTGGAAATGGTACAGAATAGAGTGGCGAGAGCCTCTATATACTAGGAGCCATCAGGTGGACTGCAACGATTGTGGGTCTGTCTGAGGGAGCAAATGTAGCTATGTTTGAGAGTGTGAAAAGATACTTGGAGAACATGTGTACTTTGAAAGAGAAGAGGGTGGGAAGGCAAAGATGACAATGCCGAATGTTTTAGTCTTTTAGGTTTGTAGTGAATACTACTTATTAATTAAACTTTTTTTAACTGCCAAGTGCGACGTGAACTTCCATTTCAATTTTTTTACGCTAGAAAAAGATTTTTTATGCAGCATGCACAACCGATCAAAAGGTCTTGACCGGAGGTTAGCAAAATTCTAACAAGAATAAACCCACGGATGCGCGAGGAAATTCATGGATGAACATATCAGATCAACAGCAGAGAACACACCTCTTAAAAATGTCACATCAGATATTAACTCATAAAATATTAACTCATCACAAATCACTTGATTCGCGTATCTTCAGAAAGTCATGTGGGAGCAAACCTTTAATTTTGACTAGAGGATCTGCGAAGGTCACGTGGTGTTTGTAGACGACATGGAGTACGAGGGGCTCGTCGTGGTCGTGACATGCTGAGGGTGACTTGAACCTGCCCTCTGCCAGCGCCTTCCTGCGCAGCGCAGTGAGCTCCTGAGCCGTGGCGAGATCCACGGTCAACATCGCGGCGCCGATCTCGACCAGCTGAACGTGGGCCACGAGCCTGCAGGGCAACACACATTTAGGGAGGTTGTCTGAGTTAGCGGTATGGCGGCTACCGGCGAGGAATAAATGAGTAGGAGGACACAATTACGTGAGTGATAACTCAATGTAGACACAACAACTGTATATAAGTAGCTTGCAATGAAGTAGAACGACATGCAACTAGACGATGAAATAATGATTCAAATTCATTTTTAAAAAAATGCAAACACATTTGAGATCAAAAATTCTCATTTTGGGTAACAGCACTAGAGTGTGATAAAAACATGTAGTTGTTTGATAAAAATTAGTTTTATAATACTGAGTGAGTGAGAAAGATATGCCAATCAATCACCTGTAAAATTTTCTTGCTGAACAGAGAAATACGAGGCAGCCAAGAACCAGCCATTCAGGCACTTGACTTAACACAAATAAGCGAGAATCAAACATTGACTCACAGTTTCAGCTGAGCCAGCGAGAAATTCTGACTTTTGACAAAGACTCGCTGCAGCTGGGGCAGGCGCAGGAGGCTCTTGTACGAATCATCATCCAGATCAACAGAAGGCAGCGTCAGGGACTTCACTGACGCCGGCGCCAGCGAAAAGTCTACTGTGATGACTTCATGATCTATAAGCATCTAAGGAGGAAATATCAGAAAATTAATAATGAAGGTTTAACTCACAGCCAAACTAATCATTCAAGAATTGGTGTCCTCAGATCTAAAAAAGCCCAATGGTTGGTAAACAACTTAGACCTGCCATCAGGGTACGCTGAATGATGCATGCAATGAAGAAAATTTATGAAACACTACCTTTCTCACAAAAAATTTAGCAAAACTGCAAAACTTGCATTAAATGAATTAATTGTAAGACATAATAGCATAAGTTGCCAATGAATAAAAATTATATATTTTTTAGTGTAATGCAATATGCTTTTGCAATTTTTGAATTTCAAGTTCTTGCTCAATGTCATATTGACCTGCAGGCCTAGTAACGCGAGTTTTTGTCAGTAGGGGTCAGTGGCTACAGGAAGTTTTCAGAATAATATTTGTGTAAATCAAGTCCAATATTTTCACCCATGTATACTGAGTATCCAAACCACACGATAAGAACCACGAAAGTTTCAACAACTGTGGAAAAAGTCTAAGGAAAATATTGACAAGGTTTCAACCTCAATTTCCAGGAAATTTCCTTCCCACTCGGACTCGCAACTCACATCATCAATTTTTTCTGTTGAAAACTCGATGTAGAGATCCTCGATGTCAGGTAGCGCGCTTTTGAGAAGAACATCAATTTCAACTGAGTCAGAAGCAATGAAGTGCAGCACCTGCAGGAAAAAAATGTTCTGCAACATGAAACATCTAAAGGGCATACTTGACAGTTTCATCAGCCAGCACATGAATATTTAATGAAGATTCATTATTGTAATCAATTTATCTTACAAATTTTTGTACACGTCTGTCAGGCAGAAATCTTGACAAAAAACTGGACCCACCTTCAAGTTATTGAATGTCTTAAAATCGGGAGGCTTAGAATAAAAGGAGTAATCGAGTTGGAGTTGCACCAGCGCAGGACACTTTTGCGCCAAGGACGAGAGAATTCCCTCCTTCCTCACTTCTCTGCACGCCAAAAAAAAAGACTAAGACAACTTTTAAATTAAGCCACTTAATGGAAGATCTTAAATATGCAGCATTACTTATCTTTGCATGCAAGTTTTTTTCAATGTACTACCCACAATTTCGTACAACTCGAATACCCAGATGATATTAAATGCTGCTTGGATTTTCACTTGTGATGTTCACACATTCACGTCAATTGTGGACTAGGTCATTTACATTTGTTGCGCGTCGATTTACCCAGGATAATAAACAGCTTGATATAACTACTTAGCTTCAAAGATGAGCACTACGTATTTAGATAATGTTAACAAATAAATTTCAAGTGCATTTTTGCAGTCAATTCTGACATGACAATCTCCTATAAAAGATTTCTAACAAGACCACTAGATTCACCAAAAGGTTCTCAATGAGTCATGGTTTCAATAATAGTAATGGCATTTCGCAAACATTTCAGTTCATTCATCGCGGCAATATGAAAATTAAAAACAATATGTCTGCTTCAAAAAATCAAACCCCATAACGAGATACATTAAAATATTTTGCCAGCGAAACTATACTCTCATGAATTATAACTAGAACACATCTAATTAAAACTGGAGCTACCATTCAGATCAGACTTGCTCTCAATATTCAACCCGTCTTATAACACATCCAACTACAACAGCAAGTGCAGCTTGACTATCATCATAGGCCGGTGCTTGAGTAGCACCACCCATTGGAATTTCTTCCCCTGCCAAGCGCCAGTTACCTCCTCTAATTGCTTCTCTCTCTAACTGCTTACTTTATCTTATCCGTTACTTCCTTCAACCCGATACTTTCTCTTGTCTGTCACTTCCTATAACCTGTTCCTTCTTCAAACCTATTTTTCCTGTAGTCTGTTTTTCCTGTAACCCCTTTCTTCCATAGCTCATTTTTTCTGGTAACCTGTTTGATAAAATTCAAATCTTACAGACGTGGACGTAAGATGTTGTTGAACATGCGGAATGTCGTGAGACTCGAGTTGAAGGGAAGGTCTGGGAAGCTGCTATCGTTGCAAAATTGAAAGCCAGCTTTACAAAAATTTGCAAAGTCTTCAACGTTATGGATTGAGAGCTCTTTCAGAGGAGCTTGCAACTTCCGCACAAGAGCCCAATTGAGATGCCTCAATCTGCCCAGCCTCAAAACCTCCAAGCCTTTGCACTGTCTCAAGTCTCGCATCAATTCGTCAGAGTTGAATCTGCCCTGGAAAAAACATTCATTCATTAATCAGCTCATTGAAGGCTCGAGCGGAATCCTCTCATTCTTTAATTACAAAAATTCATTTCTTGAATAGTGCAAACGTTTTTATCCATAAAATATTGCAGAAGTTTGAATATAAAGACACATAAAGTACCATCTTCAAGCACAAGCGCTGAAGTGTCAGCAGAACATAGCAATAACTTAAGAAAAATGTAAGGAAAAATCCCGAGCTAATCACTAAGAGATAGAAGATGCAGGTCATATGAAGACAGAATATCGCACGAAAAATAAGCAATATTTTTGCCTCAATATCGACCAGGAAATGAATACAACATAAAGTGGATTTTGGTTATCAAAATTATGTCAGGGCATAGGTTGATAAATTCCGACCATTTACTATTGTAAGTATTGTTACAACTTATTCCTGCTCGGTATATATATATAGGTGCTGACATTATTAATATTAATAAATAGGCGAGAACAATGCACTATTGCTACGACACAGCATTGACAACTCTGCCGCACAAGCCTCACTTCGAGGCACAAAGTCCTGAGTTTGGTGCAGCGCGTGAAGATGGTCTTCATGGGGGTGTAGTGCTTTCTCTTATGCGAGAATTGAAGGCTTAAATCCTCCAAATTCACAGCAAGTCGACCTTGAATTGAAAAAAAAGTGAGCATTTGCAGTAATTTTGACAAGCATAGCATTTGATAATTTTGACAAGCATTTGTGTGCTGGACTAGATTATTTGAAACTCCAAGTCGTTTTGGTTCAGAGATACAAACAACATGTGACAAAATTAACAATCATATATATCAAAATGAATTTCCCAAAAAATCTGAACATCAGCTCTGTAACTAAGATTGTTTCTTATGTGTCTGATTTTGTATAAGCACAGACAAATGTCACTGCGTACGTACCTATAGCAGCGAATACGTTGATATCGAAGATGCACCGATACTCGTCGAGTCTGAGAGTAGTGAGGCGATTAGCGTTCATGATGAGCATCTTGTAGGTGCACAGCTTGAGGTTCTGCGTGAGCTGGGCCGGCGTCTTGCTGCAATGTAGAGCAAACGTGGCTATGCCGCTACACACCATCAATGCAAGACAAGTATGGCTCAAGTGCAGTGCTATCGTGGCTATGTCTTTACACACAATCATTACAAATTTTCAATAAAGTTTTGATCACAGGCATTTTAACTCACTTGGTTCTATTTATTAAGACTTTAGTTCATGTAGGTAAAACGCAGATTTTACTTCAGCAAAGAACAACTTAAAATTAATTGGTACTTTATCAGTCATCATTACACAACCCTGCCTAACTCCAGCTCCCTGCCTAACTCAAACTCTCCCTAGCACCTGTTGAACCGCTTGGACTCTTGACCTTGCACCACGTAGCTGATACTGATGTAAGGTCGGACTGCAATGTTACTGAGTTGGCTACGCTTGATGCGACTGTACAATAACACTTCAGATATGTATGAAAATGAAAAACTGAATGCTGTTATAATTTCTATCGTTCACATCAATATTAATAGAATAATGTCAATTAGTGTTTCAGTTATGAATCTACTTCACCACATGTTCCCAACAGAAGTAGAAGTTCCCAACAGAAGCAGAAGTTCTTAACTATCATAAATTTCAAGAATCAGTTATTAGACTACAAGAGGCGGAAGGTGTCGTAGCCAAGATGTTGAAGCAGGCAAGAGACAAGCAGTGTTAGCATCTCAAAGAGACAAACTGGCAAGGAGGGACAGGTGAACAGTAACTAAGACACTCGTACACGAGACATCGGCCGCCCATAGGAGAGAGAGAGGGAAGGAAAATGTTATGAATTCTGCCTCTGTAACAACTCCAACCCACAACTGAGAGCCGCCATCAGTCAAAGCGAGCTTTGTAGTGGGGCGCTCGGGAACAATGCCCCTAGGAATGCAAAATCCCTTAAGAAAGGGATTTCGTGTTCCCCAAAATGCTTCAGGAAAGGGGGCTCAGGAACAATGCCCAAAATCCCATCATGAAACATCACAATCACTTCAATGATAAGACCATCATACCAAGTTGAAATTTAAAAGGAATTTATAATTATAAATTCCTAATTATATATAATTTATAATTATTATAAATAATAATAATTTATAAATTATAATTATTTATAATTTATAAACAAGTGCACATACATTGGATCTGTAAACATGAAAGTATAGTTTAATTTTTATAGTTAGCCGATATTTTGTGCCTAATTATTTTTTTAGATGATTATAATTTAAAATAATATCTGCATCATGCCACAACACAAATGTATACTTATTTATTGCGGCAGTAGTGCCATAACACAATTCACTTCCATCCACTTTGGCCGACACATCACTCCAATGGCAGCGCACTTAAACCCACCTCCAGCTTTTAGGACGGTTAACCAAAGCACGTCGCCAGCTGCACTTGTCATGAGTGAAGTCTATGGCGCTGTTCTGGCCCAGCTCGCGGTAAACCAGGGACTGGAAGCGTCGACACACTGTGAGAATATGAACCATGAAATAGATTATAAGATGGATCAGAAGATGGATTATAAGATCAAGAAATGGATTATAATATGGATTACAAGATCAATAAATAGATTATAAGATGGATTATAAGATCAATAAATAGATTATAATTTATAAGATGGATTATATGATCAAGAAATAGATTATAAGATGGATTATAAGATCAAGAAATAGATTATAAGATCACTTGCTCCTCCCTATTCGACTGCAGGACATCTGGAAGAAGCTTAAGCAAGACAGTTGAAAAGTAGAGCAAGAAGAGTACAATTAAAAACAAATTTACATTCCTTGGATTGTAGTAGTTTACATTAAAATAGCTAACAGAAACATTCTCAGTAGACACATCTGAAAGTAGTACTTGAATATTATTTTAAAGTTGACTCCTGCATGTTCAATTTACATACGGTATTCTGTAGCATGGTTGGTTGTAAAACATACTTTCACTAATATCAACTAAAGTTAACTCACATGCTAGCAGTATGTGGATTGATTGGAATGACTGCTGTGAAACAGTCACGGCTGACTGGGCTCATTATTTATGCAATTTACCTGCTTCAAGAGTCAGTTGTTCAGCAACATTCAAATATTTCATTATATGAAGCAAGATGTCATCATGTAGTACGTGAAGTGTAGGCTGCCCACTGCATGCAGGTCTCAAGTCAAACTCTTCACTTGACAGCCTATGAGGCTCGTAGTACTTTGAGATGGGGCGATATGGGTCCCCCCAGTCATAATCTTGCCTAACGAATGCTTTCTGTTTTCCAAAGAACGCTGCATCGTAGCTACTCAAAATTCTGAAAAAATTGAGATTAAATATTATGTTGAAAGTGTTTTTTTACCGGGTAAAATAAAAAAAAAATTATTATTACATAGAACCACTCAATGTGCCAAATATAATAATTTGAGCAAATAGGCAGGTGCTTTGATCCTGGATGTAAAGCGGCAATGTAGCCAATGGTAATTGAGGTGCAACTAAACAGCTTTAAGTAAAGATGAACCTAAAGAGCAAGACAATATGCATTATTATAACCAATGGACCAGTTTCATGCAAGAGTTTAAATTGCTAATGGAAATAACAGCACAGAGTGGATATTGAAGGCATCAATTCAGAACAAATGCACCTTCTGAGAAATTAATCTAACCTCTTTCTGCTCTGTCACTTTCCTAGAAAACAACTCCCTTAGTTAACCCGATCTAAATACTCTTTCCTACACTATTACATAACAATTTCTCATACCTTACAATTTCTGGTAAGAATTTTGATGGAATTTAAACATGCATTGTTTTCAAACCCAAGCCAGCACATTCAAAAATGTGTCCTATAAGGTATCTAACGGAAAAAAATGAGTTATTTTTTGTGCCTTCAGTATATAATTGATACTTTGAGACCATACCTTTGACAGCAGACCAAAAGGAGTTACCAATATTCTTGCAGAATAGCACGGGCAAGTTGGGAAGCACTCAACACAATGTTAATAGCAAATAATTATCTTCATTATTATTATATCACAATTATTAAGTTCATTAGCTTCCTCAACTCACACATCACTTTTATGCCAGCTGGTGGGTTGAATGATGGCAGAGGCTGTCTTCTTGCCTGGCTTGCGCTTCAAAGTGATGCAGTCTTGTTCAATACGGAAATTCTCTGCTATCTGATGCTCAGTAACCTGATATTTAAATTGAAATAATAATCAACAGAAGAAGGGTCAAGGACAAATCATCTTTGATATAGGTACTTTCATAACAAAATACACCATACAATCATAAAAAAATGAATGGTTGATGTCAGTAGCTACTTTGATCAGAAATCTAAAAAGCAGTAAGTGGAATACTACTACCTAGTTCATTTAAGTCAAAAACAATCCAATTCTACATTAACAGTTGATTAAGAATCATTTCCAAATAGGCAGTCGGACATATACAAAGAAACATAATACTTTAGTCATGAAAACAGATAAATAAATTGCCAACTTAATTATCTGTGGACACAGGTATCTGCCAAATGAAATGAAAAAACAAGAAGAGGAAAAAAATGTTTAAAAGATTTTCCTACAAAATATTGCCAATTCTGATGAACTTGTTATTGTGAACTACAGCTACAATATATTATTTTTTTAGCTAGCCTATTTGTTAAACTTGTCTGCTGCAACCTTTCCAACCTGACATTTGAAACAAACTAAATCTTGAAATAAACTAATTGCAAGTCAGAAAAATTAATTACAGGGATAATACAAGCAAAATTTATAAAATCCACAGAATTAAAAAAAAATAGGAAAGTTATGGTTATAAAATGTTTTGCCATCCATAATGTAAATGGAGACAATCTGATTATACTTGTTAAATGGAGTCAAGTCAATACAGACAGGCAGGTAGCAAATCATTTAGAAACTAACATACCGATAAGGGCAAATTTCCAATATAAATGGTCAAGGGTGCAATTTGAGAGTTGACATCTTGAAATTCATAACCCCAACGTCTTGTTTCACCTGCTCAATGAGGAAAATTAAATAATTGATGATTAACCGTAACAAATTTTGATTACATTTACTTTGCTCAGCAAAAGAAAATTCACTTCACAAAAAATAATGCTTCATTGATCATCACAAAATTGTGCATAGACCGTCATTGATCAAATTAAGCACCAGGCATTAGGCAACATAGAATAAAAAGTAATTAACTTAAACTATGATTTCCCGTATTTCTCCAAAAATTAATAAAGTTGTCACTAAAATATTCATTTTTCTTTCAGGTATGTTTTTACAATATTTTACAACACTTCTCTTTAACTTCACTTCTTGTCTGTCTGTCTGTCTGTCTGCTACAAATCTTGTAATCGAAATTTAATACACTTCTACTTATCCTATCGATCTGAAATTTTGCACACTTGTGGAAAGTTGGAGACAATGCATGAATCAAATATCAAAAAAAATTATTTTGAAAAGTAAAAAAAAATTTTTTTTCAATATTAAAAAAATTGAAAAAATAATTTTGTCAGCTACAAATCTTATAACTGCTATTTGACACACTTTTACCTGTATAATTGATCTGAAATTTTGCACACTTGTGTGAAATCAGAGGCAATGCATGAATCAATTAATAAAATAAATAATTTTGAAAAAAGTTATATATTAAAAAAATGTATATATTAAAAAAATTTAAAAATTAATCAGAGGCAATGCATGAATCAATTAACAGAATAAATAATTTTGAAAGAAAATTTATATATTAAAAAAATTATATATATTATAAAATTTGAAAAGTTAATTTTTTTTAATTTTCGAAAATTAGATAAGAAATTCATTGTACATCTGTAAGATTGGAGATACTGGATTCTTTGGAAGTGTTGTCTTTAAAAAGTAATTTTTATACGTATATTATTTAGCACTAAATTCATTAGTCAGCAGTGAGCAGTCATTATGATTACATATATATTGCTTAATCAGTATTCACATAAAATTTAAGGTTTGTTAGTTTTATACTATCGTACTGAAGATTTAGCTCATACTTCATAGAGTAACTTACCTTCCCTGGTTGAATAGGCTGAATGCAGATACCACTGCATTTAAATTACTTTAATTTTTTGAAGCTCAAAAGCTATACTTAGTTCAAAAATTTAGTTGAAAATGGAGCATATATTAGGAAAGGGCAATGAATTTTGGTGGCGGGGGCTACGTGCTCTGACTGCCGTAGAAATTAATTATTTAATGCATAGATCATTGGGTGTTCCCTTCAACTTCAAATAGCACAAACCAATTTTGCGTTAAGCTAAGAAATATCTATTTGACATCAAAAAGGTAAGCATGTAACTGATGAAAGAAAAATTACAGGCACTAATAAAAAAATCTCGCAATAAAATATAATATATTTTATAATTGATTTCAAGATTTTAGGCATGAAAAAATCACACCTCCCAGTCTGAGGCATCTTCATAGGGTGTTTACCATGCTGCAGCTCAGCAGGTATTGTCCCAGCCAATGAATCACTGCTGTGCATATTTTCTGAGGGATATCACCCCACCAAGAGCTGATACAAGGTTCCTAGGAAGTGAAAGATTTTCCAAGTTGGAGTGAAACTCCCTCCTCAGGTTTGTATACAGTGAACACTGCAAGCTGAAATGATCAATGGTGTCCTCAGTACCATCAAACGGGGTAAAAGGGGACGGTTTTGAGCATTTTTTGTTGATAACTTCTTACCATGAAACATTTCAGAAATAAGTTTAGGCTCATTTTATAGCTCTTTGCAAGGGCTCTCCAATGGCATCTTCAAAAAAATTCCATATGCTTTTTGTAAGGTGCCAGACGCAAAATAAAACCATCCCTATTTACCCCTGGGAACGGGGTAATCTGGGACACTTGCAATAAAAGTTAATTTTAAAACGTTTGAAGCATGCAGTGTACTCATCCATTACTAACAGTACTTTGAAGTCCTCCTCTTTCATTGTAGATGATGTAGATGTAAAATAAATGACATTTTCTGTGATTTTTACTTGTTTTTCCTTTATTGATATTATATTGTTGCCGGAAGGCATTATTGCTTTTCTCCACTCAACCCATCTGTGTCATTAACCAATTTTCTTACTCAATGCATCCTTTTGTTTCATATCGTTTCAGAACAGAGGTAATAATTAAATTCCATTCAAGCCAAGAGTAATTCAGTAATTGAAATGCTGCCAAGACAGTTAAATGCATCAAGTTAATTCTGCAATACTGTTGAGTGAGTGAAGCTCTTCCAAATAATGTATATATATGTACGTTTTCCTTAATACTGCATTTTTCACATCTTTTTAACCGTTGCATTATTTATCTGCATTAATTGAGCACAACCCTACCATAATCTAGTTAACTTTGTTGCAAGTGTTCATAGACATAATGGTGATGCGGTCCTTGTTTTACCTAAATAACTTCACTTGCATTATTGTGTCAAATTTACTTCCAATGTTGTTTGCTTTGTGTTTATTAATTATGATTTTTGCACCAATAACTCTTGCAATCTAACTTACTATGCTAAATTATCAGTCCTTAATTTCCTAAATGTTTGTTCATTATTCAGTTGTAGCATGATTGCTTCAAGTTAATCTCTAAATTTAGGCATGATCCATATTATTAATGTGATATTACTGTATCCATGGACATGCCATTGAGCATTGACAACAACCTTGTCCACTGCAAGCTTCATATCAGCAGCCATGTAGCAGCACATCACATCACCACTCTATCAAGCCACTGAATTTGCATCAATTTTTGAATTTGAAAGATAATCCATCTATAAGAGCCACCATAAGTGGTAGAAATCAACTGCAGTGCTGCTCATTAATCAGCCAAGATCAGAACTGGCTTATTCTGTAGAGACACGTCCATGATGGCAAGCTGCACAGCCTTGTATATAGCAAAAAGTTTGGAACCCAGTACAGTTTGCATTGGATTCAGTAGCCCCCCAGTGACTAGTCGGGTTGATGGCACATATAGGCCAGCAGAGACAAATCCTGTGGCAGTCTGTGATCCATCAGTATAGATCTGCAGATGTTGAGGATAATACTGCTTCCAACTGAAGTCTTGAAAGCAATTCTGTGTAAATTGGGGCGGCATTGAGTTGACAGCAGAGTTCAGCAAATCCAAGCAGATGCAGGAGGAAAGATTAACATGGGGTGGAATAGCAGACATTAGCAATGTTGGAACGCTCTGCACAGATGGTAGGTTCATTTCCTGAAAGCTCTGACATGCTTTGACAATGAAAGGTGTTGGTAGAAGGTTCCCCTGATCCAAGAATCCCAACATAGATGCCACCTGATCCCCTGCAGGCATGTACATGTACCTGAGAGCCCATTTCATGAATAGATAAAGAAATCTAAGTTGCAATTTTGCAAAGGGGGAATAAAATTTTCAACTTGCAAGGATAACACAGGCATTGTGCAAGCACCCAGGATGTATCTAAGTGCTGAGTTCTGAATGGTTTCAAGGTGGTTCAACTAAGACTTTGGGATATTCCCCAAAATTGTGGCACCATATTCCATTTTACTTTGTATGAATGCCACATATATTCTTCGCAGTAGCTCTCTAGAGGCACCCCATTTCCCTGAACTTGCTCTAAAATCAAACAGGCTGTGCAGGCTTATGGATTAAGAACAACTTATTCCACCTACCTTCAATGCTGCAAATTTTTTCCCCAAGTCTCTTTGGTGGTAGTGGATGAGGAGATTGTGCCCACATATTGGATCCAACTTTATCACTGTTTCTAAAGTTTGAGATTTTGGGCAATTGCCTCACAATGCTCGTATTTTATGAGGTTTGCTAGAGTGGGAGAGCGTCACAATCTTCCCTTTGCTTGACGTCTCAAGGCTACTGCTTTTGAGCATTTTGCATCCCACCATGGTGTGGCAAAGCAACAATGTTTTTTCCCTGAGCTTTGGGGAACTGATAGTGAAGCAGCTTTCAAGATGGCATTTGATAAATAATTACTACCACTGTCTGCATCACTGGTACCACTCTCAGAGGAGATCAGTCCATCATCAAGGGCTTGTTGATACAGGGTCCATTTGGCTTCATATAATTTCCCTCTAACTGGGAAATTTTCCAAAGATTTAGATTTAGCAAACCTGGTTCCAACCTTACCACATTGGGAAATGATCACTGCCTAAGTCTGGCCCTCTTGTTAAGATGGCTCTGGTAGACAGATTAGAACTAAGGATGACCAAGTCCAGGCAAGAGGTGGTACCACATCATTCGTCTATGTAAGTGGGGAAGCTACCATCATTCAAGCGACAAACAGGGAGGGCTTTGCAAGCTGCTTCTATGGATTTCCCAGTAAAATTTGACCTGCCCTGTGCATCCCACAATGACAAATGACTGAAATGAGCATTAAAATCTCCCACTGCAACAAAATTTGCTCCAAGCTCAGACAGATAAATAATAGTTAACTTCTTCAAAACTCACATTCCTGCCTGGGTTATAAAAATTTCCAATCGCAATCCAGTCAGGAGCAGTAGCAACTTTAACAGATTGAAATTCAAGATTGGCACCTCTAGGAATAGTGGAAAATCAAATTGCTGTCTTTCAATATCCATGCAAACTAAAATGGCCATACCTCCCCTGAATGCATTTTCCAGATGTGATCATAGAGTGAAATACCCCACAAAAATGGTTCATGCACTCTTACCCATGTTTCACAGAGCAGTGTATAGGTAATACAGGGTGCGGCGCGGGAACTTACTTATTTGAATTGCGCGCCACGTGGCGGCCATTAGTCCTAGGAAGGTGGCGCCATGCGCAATATGGTGCGCGGGCTATGAAGTTTTTCGTCCACTCAGTTCAGTTGCGACCATGCAGTGGTCGAGAGAGGAGCGCGCGTTCGCAGTCTCTGTGTACTTTTTTACAAGATGTAATATTCAAGAATTAAACTTGTAAGTAAACCCAACGAAACTTTAAATGTAGCTCTTTGTAAAAAAGAAAGAATTAAAACGCTATCTTTAATACTTTTTACTTTGTGATTTTTTTAAAAGAGTAAGTTCCCACGCCGCACCCTGTATATTCTCATGTCAATATAAGAAAACATATTGAAAAACCAACCCTACCACCGCGTTACACCTTCCACTGTAATGAAAATTGATAAACTGAGCTCATTAGAAACTGCCGTGCTTCCGAAATTGCACATGGTTTGAAATCCAATCCCGTGTTGCCAACACCTAATCAAGTTAACTAGTCATTTATCTGTAGGCTAGCAAAGACATTTTTGCAATGAATACGTTTTAAATAAAAAAAAACACATCCACATTCGTAAAAAATTCTCATGATTGGACAACACCAACAAAAAGTTTTCGATATCACAAAATTATGAGATAAACTGCTACTCTTTCACTGCGTACGTTCACATCATGGTTTCTATGTTTACGTATTACAAGACAGTGTCACACACACTTATGTTTTGGTTGTGTCTAGTTTGATTTCACAATAAATAGATTTGATTCACATTCCATTCTGAGATTTAAATGATTGAAAGTTTTTTTCAAATTATAAAAACCCATTTAAACATTCCAGATTTGAATTTTTTCCATTTTTTGCCCTATTATGTTGAATTTATCTTAATAAATTCACTTCAAATTCTGAATGATTTCGTCTACCTTCCTGCGTTTTCAAACGTTTTGTCTTTTAGAAAATGTTTGTTGTTTAACATGGGAAACTATTTCATTATATAGAACATAGAGCACATACCATATAGTGCATTAATAATACAATTTAATTTAATAAAAATTAATTTTTAATTTAAAAAATATAATCAGATTTTTAATTCAACATTTTTCTAATAGAATTTATTTCTACAGCATGTACCATCTAGTGTATTAAATAATAAAATTTGATTTAGTAAAATTTAATTTAATTCTACAGCTTCAACCGGTAAAAATGAGCATCATAGGAATCAAAGTAAAACTGTTGTTCATACATCACAAATTGAATGACATTGGATGGATTTGATAGGTATTTTATTAATCCTGTTTATATATAAGAATGGAAATGATGCTTCTATTTCAGAATGATAATGGAAATGTTCCTACTATTTCAAAAACTTTTCTTGAATACACTTCCGAAAACTAAAGTTCTGTAATCAATGGAGTCTTTGAAATGACGAAATCGTTCAATTTAAAATTTTTAGCTATAAGAGTAAGATTGTCATTCGTCAATATGAGGAGCATTCATTTGTCATTCGTGAGGGGCTGTAAGAAAAAATTTGTTGTTTTTGATGCAAAAGAATGTTTTTCAATTAAAAGAAATGCAATACTTGATTTTTGGAAATACGATGTTAAAATTAAC